TATATATACACACACATATATCTGTGTATATATATATATATATATATATATATATATATTTTTTTTTTTTTTTTATTATTAAATGTTAATTATATATACAAAATATTTAAAATGATGGCTTTCATTATCATTACATTTAGAGTTAAAAAGATATGCCATACTTAAGCTATCTTGATTCTACATTAATTTATTTTCATGTTAGGGGGTTAAACAGTTATAAATATTTCAGTGCAGTCTTAAGAGCTGAAATTAAATATTTACACACCTTTCCGTGTCATAGAAGTCCATGGCCTTCTTAACTTTGTTGTATGCAGCAACTCTGAAGGGAATAATCTCTAGAGAGGTGAGGCCTGGTGCCATGGTCAGCACTTTTCCACCGTGTGTGGGCTCGTACAGGTCCTTCTTTGTCTCCGGATGGGGCAAACCTGCTGGATCTCGTCCTACAATGTAAAAGTTGGCCCCTGCGATCATCCTGGCCCGACAATGCCACTGTACCTATAAGGAAATCATTTTTTTGTCCAATTCAGAATTGGTTTGACTCAATTATTTGTACTAAAAAAGGTCTAAAATGGCTGCAGAAACTAAGGTCATTCTGTTTATTAAAGTGCCTCTTTTTTTCCCCCCCAGAGTAACATGTTCAACAAAAGTCTGACCTCTGTAGGCCCAGCATACATCATGGGTGAGGGGAAAATGGCCACAATGGTGTTCTCTGGATCCAGCACTCCTTCGTCCAGCACAGCAGCATGCTGCTTCATGCGCCAGTCCAGCGGTACATCGTCCTCTTTGGTCCAGCCACCCAGAGGGTGCAGCAGCAGCACAGGCTTTTTGTAGCCCCGCTCCAGCAGACGACGCTTAGTGTCCTGCATCAGGAGCGCATGGCCGTTGTGCACAGGATTACGCAACTGGAATGCAAAAATGGCATCTGCAAGGGAAAGACACAATTGAGGAGGGTTTTGTCACACTAGCAGGTACTCATGGGAATGAATTTGTATATAAAAAAAAGTTTAGGTTTAGGGGTGGTGTTAAATTTGCTACAGCATCATTATAATGTATTCCATCATAATAAGAGTATTCTTTACATAGTAATTGTCATTTTTTCATATGAAACTACTACATGTTTCACTTTTACCTGCTCTCATTTCTTTAAATTTCTGTCTTAGCTCCCGTGGAGTGAGACGGTACTGGTCAAGGCCATCATTCCACCTAATTCTCTCAAACACCTCCAGATCTCCACCGGCCAGCCAATCACCACTCTCCATTACCATCTGTACGTAGCATAAAAGGTGGCATTTCATTGGCTGATTGTATTAGCAAGTATAACATACAACTGTTATAAAAGCAATGACTTTGACAGACATGCGTCTTCTCACCTTGATGTAAGGATGTTGGGGGCATGTTGTCCCCCACTGCCTGGCACATCTCTCTTCTTTACGATGCTCATAAAACTCAGGGTTGCGCATGATTGCCACCTTTTGACCTTTGAACTCCAGGACAAAAGCAGCACAACCGTCCAGCCTCTTTTTGTCATCCTTGGATATGGGCAGCACAATGGGAACAGACATGTTGATGACCCCCCCTAAACATACAATATTATTCATTACTATTATTAATATTATTGCATGTTATGTTTGATATTATTACATTAACTCAATCTGCTAATTGAATACATATAAATGAAAGTTACTGATTATAATATAACTGATTATTACAGTGTTATTATTAAATTAATATTTAATAATATATACACTACCGTTCAAAGGTTTAGAATTGGTAAGGTTTTTTAATGTTTTTGAAAGCAGTCTCTTATGCTCACCAAGGCTACATTTATTTGATCAAAAATACAATATAAACAGTAATATTGTAAAATATTATTACAATTTAAAATAACTATTTAGATATATTATAAAATCTAATTTATATATAAATTATAAATTGTGGTAAAGCTCATAAATCTGGATGGTAAAGCTGAATTTTCAGCAGTCATTACTCTTCAGTCTTCAGTGTCACATGATCCTTCAGAAATCATTCTATGCTGATATGTTAATTTGGTGCTAAAGAAACATTTCTTATTATTATCAATGTTGAAAACAGCTGTGCTGCTTAAAGGGATAGTTCACCCAAAAATTCTGTCATTAATTACTCACCCTCATGTCGTTTCAAACCCGTAAGACCTTCGTTCATCTTTGGGTTAGTTCACCCAAAAATGAAAATTCTGTCATTAATTACTCACCCTCATGTCGTTTCAAACCCGTAAGACCTTCGTTCATCTTCGGAACACAAATTAAGATATTTTTGATGGAATCTGAGAGCTGTCTGACCCTGCATAGACAGCAACGCAACTGAAATGTTCCCAAGTCCAGAAACGCAGCAAGGAGATCGGTAAAATAATCCATGTGACATCAGGGGTTCAACCGTAATTTTACGAAGCTACGAGAATACTTTGTGCGCAAAAGAAAAAAAAACAACGACTTTATTCAACAATTCGTCTCGTCCGCGTCACCCTGGTGCCATTTTGGAGAATATCAGCTGGACGTAAACAGCGTATGCTGTTCTGTGTCAGCTGCGTCACACGGATACGCTGTTTTCATTCAGATCAAATCACAACAACGTAGGAAA